GGATGCTATTGGCCTTCTCGGCCACCTGGGCGCACTGCCGGCTCATGTTCAGCCGGCTGTCAACCAGCAACCCCAGGTCCTTTTCCGCCAGGCAGCTTTCCAGCCACTCTTCCCCAAGCCTGTAGCGCTGCATGGGGTTGTTGTGGCCGAAGTGCAGGACCCAGCACTTGGCCTTGTTGAATCATACAGTTAAAAGCCAGCAGGATCTGGCTCCATCTTTCCTATACCCTCCCATTATGTAGATAGCAATCAGATCTCTGTATGGGTGGCACAGGTCCCTCTGACAGCAGCCCTGATCCATGTATCAACTGATTCCTGCAATTTGGTGTTCACAAACCTTTTGAGAATGCACTCCATCCCATCACCTAGGTCATTAATAAAGACATTAAACAGTGCTGGCCCAATATCAATCCCTGAAGGATGCTACTTCCAGCCACCAGCTGGACTTTGTACTGCTGATGACATCTCTTTGAGCCAGGAAGTTCAGCCAATTATCCACCTACCTTATAGTCCTGTGGATACTGTGGGATATTGTGTCAAAGGCCTTGCTAAAATAAAGCTACCCACAGCATATACTGCTCTCCCCTTGTCCACAGAGCCAGTAATCTCATCAGAGAGAGCAATCAGGCTAGTCAGGTATGACTGTTGTTTGTTAAATCCATCCTGGCTGTTCCCAGTTGCCTTCTTGTCCTTTGTGTGCTTGGAAATTACTTCCAGGGGAATTTGGTCTATTATTTTCCCAGGGACTGAGGTGAAGCTGACTGGCTAGTAGCTTCCTGGATCCTCCCTCTTGCTCTTCTTGGCTACGTGTGTGATATTCAACTTTTTCCAGTTTACAGGAACCTCCCTCTGATCCTTTCAGACATGATGGATAGTGGCATTGACCAGTTGCATCAGCACCCTCAGGCTCATCTCATCTGGTCCCATGGGCTTGTGTATGTCCAATTGGCTTAAATGCTTTCTCACTGTATTTTCTACTGTGTGGTAATGCTTCCTGCTCATGGATTCTACAGGTAGGCTTAGAGATCTGGAACGCTTAAGGCTGAAGGTTCCTGATGGAAATGGAAGCAAAAAAGGGATTGAGTGCCTCAGCCTTTTCCATGTCCTTTGTCACTAGGTTGCATAGTGGGTCCACATTTTCCTTAGCCTTTCTTTTGTTGTCAATGTACATATAGAAGGCCTTTCTTCTGCCTTCCAGATCCATTGCTAGTTTCAACGCCAGCTGAGCTTTGGCTTTCCTAACACCACCCTTCGGGCAATATCTGTATATTCTTCCCGTGTAGCCCACCCCTGCTTCCTACACGCAGGAGTGAGCTGTTCTTGTGCTTTGAGGTGTCCCTGAAGATTAGCTACCGCTCCCAAGCTTTCCCTTTACCTTCTAGTCTTCCAGGAGATTCTACCAGGAAGATCCCTGAACTGGCTGAATTCTGCTCTCGTGAAGTCCTGCGTTGTGACCATACAATCTGTCTTTCTCAGATTTTGAACTCTGCAGTTTGATGGTTGCTGTAGCCAAGGCTGCCCTCGATCTTCACATCCCTGTCTGGTTCTTCCTTGGTTGTGAGCAACAGGTCTGGCAGAGTGCCTTTGCTAGTTAGCTTCTGAATCACCTGCACCAAGAAATTGTCATCAACAGATGCCAGAAATCCCCTGGATTGCTGCACTCAGCCATATTACCCCATCAGCAGGTATTAGGGTGGTTAATGGGCCGGATGAGTATGAGTGCCTGCAATCATGAAGCTTCCTCCATCTGTCCAACAAAGGCTTCATTGACTTCCTCTCCGTTTTTGGGTGGTTTATAGCAGGCATCCACCACAATGTCACCCATGTTGGTCTGTTCCTCTGATCCTTATCCATAAGCTCTTGACTACACGCAGCCAGGTGTTGGACTGCAGGTTGCATCCACCCTGACTTGAGCCTTTCCCCATCACTGGAAGAATTGAGGAGAATACCACCTCGGCCCCCTGCCCTTCACACTTGACCCCAGTGCTCTGTAGTCACTTTTGGTATATTCAGGGTCAGCCCTGGTAGTGTCATTCGTGCCCATATGAATGAGCAGCAAGGTGTAATAGCCCAAGGGCCAGATGAGTCTTGGTAGTATCTCCACAATGTCCTGAATCCAAGCACCTCACAAGCAACAGGCTTCACAATCATCAAATCAGATCAAGTAGATGGGTGCCTCTGTTCCCTCAGTCTCAAATGACTGTCAGCTACTGCTTCTTATTTGTGATGTAGACACTTGATTCAGACTCACCTGGCTCTGGTGTGTCCTCTGTTAGGTCTTGTTCTTCCTCACCTGTTCCCAGGTCACTATACCTGTTCTGTAATTCTATATCTGTAGGCAGAGGAAAAGCCTTCCTTCTGTTGGCAGAAGTCACAAGTCTCCAGCCTACCTCCTCTTGGGAGCCTCCATCCACTGCTCCTTTGAGTGTAATTTCTAGGTTTTCCTCCTTCTTTGCATTGTTTGGGGGTCTTGTCTCTGCAAAGTCTCTATGAAGATCTTGTCATTCTCCTGTAAATCCTCCTGACAGCACACTCATCTCCTTCACAGCTGCATTGTCCTGCGGTGCAGCACATTGACCAGAGCACAGTCCCCACAGGGGAGGCCAATGTCTCCCCCAGCCCCAGAAAGAGGCATCAGGCACTCCTTAGTGTGTCTGGGAGTGCACAACAGCAGCCCCCCATAACAGTTCTGTCTGGGTCAGTGCCTCTGAAGTGCCAAGGATAATTGTTCCAGCTGATGCCAGAGACTGTGCTCTGTGGTGTGTCAACACCAAAGCTGCACAGTGTCAAATTGTCCCACGCAGGCTTGAGCAGAGTGCTGGCCAGCATGACTTGATAAATACCAATGGAGGAATACTGTGCTGCTAAACAGTTTTTTAGAAAGAAGTAATTAGCTTTCATTAGAGAATGTTCTTTCTGTAGATGCTTGACTCCTGATGCAGACGCACGTCCAGACATAGTGGAGGTCAGCTCACTGCTGTCTGATGTGATGATGAAATACCTGGATGTCTTATCCACCTCTCATCTCATGTTGGAGAAGAAACTGGATCGGGAGAGGAGACGAACCCAGAAGTACTTCATGGAGGCTAATCGAAATGCAGTAATCTATCACCATCAGCTTTCCATTTTATCACAAGTAAGTACATGTATTAGGTTTTATTTTTTCTTATCATTGTTTGCCATATCTGAGAAAATAAGGTACAACAAAGCAGAAAATAAATCAAAATAAAAAGACCCATCCTCTTAGAACATTTTTCCATGCAGGCTCTTTAATTTATTTTTAATGAGGTATTCATTCAATTTTGTGGACATACTTATGCAGGAAAAATAACAGTATCTTAAAAAATGATGTCATTCTATGTTGGAAAATGGCATTGTTATGGAGGTACTTGCAGTTTTGATAGAATCTGATAATGTTTAATTATTACTGCACACTTGTGAATGGTTTGTGAATAGGAGAATATACACTTAGAATCATAGAATCATAGAATAGTTTGGGTTGGAACGGACCTTTAAAGGTCATCCTGTCCAACCCCCCTGCCATGAGCAGGGACATCTTCAACTAGATCAGGTTGCTCAGAGCCCCGTCCAACCTGACCTTGAATGTTTCCCCTGTCGCAACAGGCCCTGCTAAAAAGTTTGTCCCCATCTTTCTTATAAGCCCCCTTTAAGTACTGATAGGCTGCAAGAAGGTCTCCCCAACACCTTCTCTTCTCTAGGCTGAATAACCCCAAGTTTCTCAGCCTTTCTTCATAGGAGAGGTGTTCCATCCCCCTGATTGTTTTTGTGACCCTCTTCTGGACCTGCTCCAACAGGTCCGTGTCTTTCTTATGCTGAGGGCTCCAGAGCTGGACGCAGTACTCCAGGTGGGGTCTCACCAGAGCAGAGTAGAGGGCTATGGTGGAACAAACGGATAATCTTGTGTATGATTCACAAACAATGACACCTAGAAAATGGAACCTACGCAAATATAATTTTTAATTACAGATTGCTAAAGAAAGAACAGTGATGCTGATAAGGTATTTGCTAATGCTTTCTTATTGTCTGATACAGTTCTGCAGAAATACTTCTTAAAATTCTTCCATTTGCTTCAGGCTGTGTTTTAAGCATTCTTCTCGAAGGACATCAGTATTTTACATAATGAACCAAACTTGTATATGATCTCAGAGAATTTACTTAAAAAAATACAAGGACAATGCTTTTTTATAGTAAAAGCTCACTGTGAAAATTATTATTATGGTAATTATGAAGCAAAGTTATAATTTACATAGCTACTCTTGTCTGTTCAGCTATTGTATCTCTGTTAGATTCCTTTTATGAGGGCTCAGAAGTTTGCACTTGAAGAACCCCTGTGTAGGAAAAAGATTTTCAGGAACACCTTTTCCGAAACTCGTGGATTTTTTTTTTTTTTTTTTTTAATACGTTGTCTTCACCTTCCTGGCCAAACATAAGACTTGTAGAAATTGTTAATAATTTTTTTTTTCAGTAGTTTTTTGACCTATAAGTCCAAGATCATTATTTGTATTATACCATTTTTTTTCAAGAAAAAGTATGCCAACAACTTCCAGAAAAACCTCAACAAACCACTGTCATTTGAAATGTAAGAGGTACTGAGATGGAAGAAAGATAGAGTAGGATTTATAACTTAAAACAGTATGAGCAATTATTTTCCATGTTTTTTGAATTTTCTTACTCTACAAATTTGGAAGCTTGTTGTATGCCATTATTTTTTCATATTTTGATATAGTCGTTCTCTTGCATAACTATGCTGAAATTTGCGAAAATACATACTATGGGTGGAAAGCTGCTTGATTTGGGATTTCAATGCAATTATCCTGTCTTTGAGAGAAGAGTGCCCTATCCAGACACTTGTAAGACATGATAGAACTAATAGCTTTATATTGAAGTCAGAGGACTTCTGTTTTGTATAAATACTTGAAAAATACACCTATCTACAAAACGAGAAGGAAAATGGCTCTGTCTTTTGGGGGATAATGGCTATTCTTCTCAAGGAAGGAATACTGTAATTGTAGTTCTGCTCCAATGGATATTTTATTATGTATATTAAAAGAAACAGGTACAACAGGAGGATCTGACAAAGATCCAGAACACTACAGAAGCTGAGAGGAGTATGGCTCGTTAATGAGAAGTGGGAGACCTAATTGTGTGTCCTTGCTGTAAATAAGAAAGAATAAACCAGGCTAGGATCTTTCAAATTTCAGAGGAGTGCTACAGGGCTTAAAACAGAAGGAGCCATGTTGTTTCCTTGTTCTTGGTATTGTAGGAAAATTTTATGAAGTTTATGAGGATTTCTAATAAAGAGAATAATTATTCCTGAAAAGTTTGACTTTTGAAAAAAAGACAATATTCTGACTAAAAGTACTAGGAAGAATTTCAAGCAGCTGTTCCTGAAATAAAAACTCTGTGAGGTATGGACAACCTAATTCATCTTAGCCAAGGCCCCAGCGATTCCACAGCCAGGTAATGTGTCATTTTTCCATGGTGTCAGAGAATTCGGTGTTTCTGCCATGTAGTTCAATATTTTGTTGAAGCCAGCTATCTTATACTTTGTTTTCTTTCTACTAAAATGTACTTATGGCCTCCTTTTTCATCCCAGTTGTGTCATCTAATGTTTCTGAAATAAAGAGCATACTCTCTGTCCTGGTTTATGGAACTAAGCAGCAGAGATCTTTTGGAGGTGGAGTGGAATCTGTTTTATAAGTAGTTTAAGACCAGTGTGGAAGCTGATAAGTAGGCAATTGAAAGGCAGGTCAGTAGATGATGTTGGAGAAGTGTAGTTACCTTGCCTGGCAAGTATAGCATAAAATCCAGGCTTGAAAATAATCCTAATAAAAAGAATCATTATCAGCTCCCTACATAAGTTCTTATCTTTCCTTGTTTTCCATAGAAGTTGTTTAGGTAAGAACAGAAGCAGATGTAGGGATGAAAGGTGTTTAATAGAGTTTGTGTGTTCAGTTCTGAAAGGTTAAGGCTGCTGACATAACAGAGGGTACAGAGGACCAAAACAAGTAATAATAATAGTAGTAATTATCTATCACATAGTACCTTTCATTTCAAGGTGGTCAATTTTATATTTTGATGCTCTGGTTAGGAAAAGGAGAGGAAAAAAGTAGTTTATGTAAGGTCACCAAACAGACCAGTGGCAAAGTTGAGTTTTCTGTGTTCCAAGCCAAATCTGAGTCTTAATACAGTAGTTGATTTAACTAATAATGAAAGTATCTTTCTAATATCTTCCTTTAAACAGATGAGAAAGTGGCCAAATAATAATTTGATTGCTTTTTTGAGGTATATAGATTTGAAAAATTTAGACATTATTTTGGCTGTTTGCAAAAAGCTGAAAATAAGTCACTTTTATTACTTTGGAAATATGTATTTGATTACATAGGCATCATCCATTATTGTTTCATTTACTGTATATATCCTGAAGTGTTTTTAACTTAGAAATAATGCTTAGAAGCCCTTGATAAGCCAGTGCGTTCGTATACTGTTTGACATATAAATAGAATAACTTTTTTCTCATTGCCAGATTTTTTAATGTAAAAATCAATATACCTAAAACAATATAGAATGATGAATATTGAGATCTGTCCTATATTTTGAATGTGGGAGAGAAAACTGTAAGCTTTATAATCACAGTCTTTCAGCTAAAAATATATAACAAAATATGAGCCATTTGTACCTCCTCCTACTCTGATCAGCCAGGTAGTCTATCATGTCTGCCCATTTTTAATATATTCTCTGAGAGTTTCTCAATTTCTGAAGCTCTGATCTGTGCGTATGGCACACATGTTCTGTCACATTCTTTCTCTATACCAGGTTTTTGTAATACTGTGTTCTTTGGGAATTTAAGCTTATTTTAATTTTTGTATTGATAATGTCACTAGAATACATATTTTATTTTTAAATCCATATATGCAAATCCATGTATTCAAATGACGTTCCCAATTATGCAGAGTAATGGGAGACTAAGATACTTAGATAATGGAAAAGTAGGTACAATTTTGTTTCTGAGTGTAGTGCGATCTATGGAGTGGCTCCACGTCCAGTGTTTGTCACGGCTAACAGGGTGTCAGAAGTCATTAACAGTGCTTGGTCTGAGCTGGTCCATTTAGGTCACCATTAGCTGAGTGCTTTGTCCCAGTGTTCAAACACACAAGAATGCTTATTAGCAAGGTTGCTCTCTGCATTTTTCTGTTTTCACACTTGAATTGATAAGTCTTCCCCTAACCCAGCATGCCGAAGAGCATGGCATGGCATATAGACCCCCGGTGTGTTGTCTTCTATCTAGATAAGATTTTTAGCTGCAGGTCAACACTGGCCCTCCCAGACCTAGGTCTGCAGGTATCAAGGTGTTGCACTTCTGGTGGACTAGGATACTACTGCTAGGAGACATATTCTGATTATTCTGCTTGCAGGCAGCTTGGTTACAGCCTATGCTAAGCAGCCTGCCTGGTGCGCTCTCTTGTGGAAGCAGTTCAACTATTTATTGGCTGGAAATAGTGAAAGAAGCAGTATAGCAGTTTTCAGACAGGACTACATCTAAACTAAAGAGCCTGGCCAGACCTGAAATGGCTGATGCAGTTTGCTGACTTCCATCTGTGTCATAAACCTTCATAATCCACCTGTAGACAATTAAGAGTAGATTGTGTTATGTCTTTTCTAGATTGGTTTAGAAACATCAATGGTGTATCTAAAGTCCTGAGAAATGTTGGGATTTCTTTGTATGTCCCTTCTATCACAAAGACCCTAAGGTAAATAGTTGTGAAGCATTTTGTAGGAATACCTGTAAATACAGAGCATGCTACTGCTCCCACTCTTCTTTATCCACAGGAATGGATTTTCTTTATCCTAATCTCTTTCTTCATCCACAGTGGCCAAAGGGGGAAGGGTTAAAGCTGATGGTTTAAGAATCCATACTTTTGTAACCACCCTGCAGGCTACTGGCAACTCTTGTAATTAAAAGCAGCCATCAATTTCCTCAAATTCCTAGAAGAAATGAGGACAGGATCACAGCTCTCTGAAAGGCAAAGAAACACAAAATGATTTAACTGTGTTTTCACCAGATCTTTTCCCCCCATACCCAAATTCAGTTCTGCACTGTTGGCAATTGCTGTG